CAGTTATGATTTAACCAGATTTATTACTAACCTTCAGAGAGAACTGGAATGAATGTGGGTGGACCTTTTGCATAGTAGCAGATAATCTACATTTATACTCGTTTATAATGTGTTATGCCAGATGGATTAGACAGAAGCTTTTTTACAGGCTCAAAACACACAGGTCAACGCATACAGGTATATGGAATCCTCTAAGCATTGGCAGTTATCATACCATCCAAATTAGAGCTGCTGCCGAAGATTAAAAAACACAAATCATTGACAAGGATAATTTAAAAAAAAGGAACTTGGATGTAAACCCATCATTTCCAAGAGTAGCAATGGGTTTTAATGACCTCCTACAAACCACTGGAGGGTTGGGTCGTTTTCAGGTTCTCAATACTGCTGTGTTGCTCTTTCCTATGATGTTTATGGCTTCACATAATTTCCTGCAGAATTTTACAGCTGCAGTACCCCTACATCGCTGTCGTATTCCACATTTGGACAATGCTTCAGTTTCTTTTAATCTTAGCAACATTGCAATGTTTATACCAGAGGATGACACCCTGAAGAGCAAAAGTTGTATAAAGTTCAGAAATGCAGAGCTTGGCCTGTGGACTAATGTCACTTCAACAAACAACACTGAATCCTGTAAGGATGGCTGGGTCTATGACAAGAGCACCTTCATCTCCACTATCGTCACAGAGGTAATGCACAGAATACGATGATGCTAAATGTAATAAAGGCTTTCAGAATGTTCACACAGCACAATTTGTGAAGATTCAATTATTCAATCATGTGAAAATAAAATACATGTTTACTTATTTCTGCATATGATTGGTAAATATTTACAAAAATGTAAGACTAGACCTACATCGGTAATGTTTAGGATATAACAAGAGCACTGGGTTACATAGATCATTATTTTTATCAAACTAAACAAGATTGCACCTAACAATTCCAATCTGAATTTGAAAATAAAGTAAAAAAAAGTCCCAATAAGTGTTGTTTACTAAGACTGACGATTGCAAAATCTGGTGCAATTCTGCATAGAAACCAATCAGCTTCCAAGTTTTATTGCCAAAGCTTATTTGAACAAGCTGACGTTAGAAGCTGATTGGCTACCATGCACAGCTGTACCAGATTCTGAGTGCTCCATTTTTAGTACATCTACCCCATTGTTTTGTATTGATATATTTCACATCACACTGCAATGCGTTGGTGTTCTCCTTAAAAAAAAAATACAAGGCATGTAGACAATGCACCGCAGCACATGCAAAAACACACAACAGTGCACATTGCCAGCGCACATCAATGCATGTGCACAGATGTGCTCTCTGTGGTGTGAACCTATCCTTATTGTTGACACTTTGCAAAACTGTAGAATTCTATTGGAAGGTATTCTTAGCTGCACTGTTTTCAAAATTGAAATTTGTTTTAGTTTAATTCAGTAGATGTAATGATCTGCACAATGCAACACACTTTTGTTCTTTTCTGACATTTTAGTTTCAATTACTTACTAGGATAATCAGTTCAGAGCTTGAAAGCATTGTTTAGGGACTGTTCCAAATACCTTCTTGATTGTCATTCAGGGCATACATTGGCTATTGCATCCTTTGTTTTGTTTTCTTTTGGGTTACTTTTAGTAGCCGAATCATCTTAAAACCTCCTACACACAATGAAAATGTCGGACAAACAATCATCTGTTTTTTTTTTTGCATGCTAGTCTCATATTGAAAATGAAGAGGTTACTAAAGTTATGAAAATTCTTGTACTCAATTGTTTTTGGATGAACACTGTACTGATTAAACATAAATCATTTGCTCCGGTATCATACAAGAAAACTTTCCGTGCTTGTCCCTTTGGATAATTTTGCATGAACTGTCGTGATCAGCTCTCAAAAACTGTGTATGAATAATCATATTATCGAATGATTGTTCTGAAATATTTTTCGTCTGATTTTCTCATCATGTGTACTAGGCTTAAGAGTATTGCTAGTAATTAACCTAGAGCTACGCAGGAGATTTTCAGTAGCTAAATTGCACTAATAAAATCTACCACAATCATACAATGCTGTAATTCAAAGTGGATCCATGATGCAGTCTGTAACTAGTATTAACACAGCAGGTTTTTTTCCTGAATACCCCTGTAACATAGTTTTATCAACTATTAACCTCCCTAGCGGTATTCCTGAGTGTAGCTCGGGGTTAATTATCATTGCCAAAAGCGGTAACCCCGAGCTGCACTCGGGATTACCCTGCAGCGTTGCTCAGGGATTCCCAGCTTCACTTACCTTGTCCTGGGCTCCTGCGATGTGTCCCCTGCAGCGTCCCCGGCCATCTCCTCCGGCGGATGCCAGCATCCGTCTTCTGGGTTCCGGTCCCTGCGAGCATCAGGATGTACGGGGGCCGGAACCGGCGGGAAATGTAAAAATTTTAAAAACGTACATTCACAAAATACACTAAAATCACATAGTAAAACATTACTGTATCAAACCATTTCACATACATTGTGTCCCTACTGTTTTGTCCTGTGCCCTGCCTGCATTTTGACTGTTCTTTCTGCCTAGAAACTGAGAAAAGTCCATGGCGTCCAAAAAGCGTCCCTTTAGGTCAAAAGCGGTTTTAGTCCAGCTAGAGAACAGCAATAGTAAATCAGAACCACTTGCAGAATTGAGTGATAATGATTCGTGGGGAAATTCGTCATCAGACACTGAAAACAATTTTGTGACTTTGCTCAGTGATGTGCGAACTTGGCGCTCTATTTCAAATTTTAGTGTTTTTGGTTTGATTATATTATTGAATTAAATTTATTATTATTATATTATTATTTTTATGATTATTATATTATAATTTATGATTTCGTGTTTCAAATTTTATCATACCTGGGATGTTTACTAGACTCTTGTTCGGACAGATTTCAGTGAGTTATTCCTAAAAATTAAAGGCCTACAATAAAAAAATACATATTTCCATGCAAAAAAATGTACCGCTTTGAGCACAGAAATATTGACATAATCATACCGCTAGGGAGGTTAAACATACCTTCCTTTAACAGACAAAGTTATCCAACAAAAGTGGCACTTACAGATGTTGGAACAAATGATATAACACTGGCAGGGGTGCTTACAATGGTCAGATTTTATTCATTTGGCTTTAACACTTTTCAAAAAATATAAAAATTATTGGTAGAAATCCTGATTATACCTTGCATTGCTTCACTCATGCTAAAGCGCTGCATCCCCTTGACTGCCCAATGTGGTTGTTTTTTTTGGCTTTCTTAATGAATTATCCTACTGTGTGTGGCTCCTTCTGGGGTGTGCCCCTACTTGTTTCTCTGTGGAACAACCCCTTTAGGACCAAACTAATGTTGCCACAAGATAATCCCCTAGGACCTATGCTCCAAGATTGCATGTTTTCCCATCTTTAATATCTACTGATGCCTTCCCTTTACAACCTGTCTCTTCACAGATGCCCCTCCCCCCCATTTATTCCCTCTCTTTATATTCTTTCACCCTTCCCTTTCCCCATCTGTTTTCCTCCATTTACTCACCCCTTCCCCCCTTTTTCCTTCCTCTTTTCCAAATCTGAAGATCCCCTTTTGACTATGTTCATCCTCGTTTTGAAGATTATTGAGCTTGCTGCACATGTGAGCGGGGCCAGACCAGCATAGCCAGGAATTGTGAGGAGTCAACACACTTTGATATTTAAACTGTACTCTATACTGTATTGTAGAAACAGATTGCAGGAGTAAGGTATTTTACAGAAAAGGCTATACAATTCTCCAAGCAAAAAATAAAGTCCATCAACAAAGCACTTTTTCAACAGCAATATATATATGCCCCCTAGTGTACATAGTTTGTTGATAGTAGTTAGAGGCTTGCTAGAAGCCTGGGTTTAGACAAAGTGTTACTTCAAGTTAATCTGGAGGGATCGAAAAGGCAGTCCTCTGGTACCTCCCCTGCTCTAGAAGCTTGGAGAAGCTTCTAGAAGCCAGTAGGTGGAGGTGAGGATGGGCTGATCTGCATATTTATGGGAGTCTGACCAATCCCAGGCAGGAAACCTGGTAATGTGGCAGAGCAGCGCATAAATATGACCATAAGGGGAGTCGGGTGGAAAACAAAGTACTGCTGTATAGCTGGGGAGGGGGCCACGGAGGAAAGGGTGTTCTGAATCCAGGCTGGAGGCTTCATTGCCCTGCAGTCCACCAGGAAAGGACATCCTGCATTTTTTGGAAAAGAACCAGACCAGCGGAAGGCCTGAAAGCAGTTCTACCCATGGCTGCAGGACAAGAACAGTATGAGTATCTCTACAACCCCAGGACCTATAAGGGAGAAGTCTGCTCAATACAAGTTCTTGGCAAGTCTTCAGGGGACAGTCTAATGTTTACCCAATCCCTTGTACTAGGATCAGATACAGTAGCCAGGTGGTGTGGTTTTTTGTTCACTAATGGGACCCAAAGCTCCTACAAGTTGTCTCTTTGCTAAAAATCCACTCAGCGGACACCAAATTCCTAGCAGGGGATTATTTTGCTAAAGACTGTTCCGGCTGGAACGCAGTCAAATATCTGTCATTTTTGCAGTATGCTTGTGAAGGAAACTGTCCTCATTTTGTTGCTCTTCATTCTAGTTCGGCACCCATAACCCCCTTTACTCTACCCAAGTTGAAATCCTTAATAAATACAAAAAACAAGCCTATGGTCAATTTCTTGCTTTTGGATACAAGTTGAAAAATGCGTGTTGCCTGGCTGTGCCGATATCGGGTGAACTTTACTCACTTAGAGGAGAAAAACAGACTCATATTTGTTCAATGACCTGCACTATACAAAACAACTGCAAACATTTCTGTGCTCAAATCCAAATAGTTCCCCAAAGGAGATGCAATAATAAAACCTGAAACATTTTCTCAGATTTTCTCACTGTAGATGAACCTAGGATACCTATACTTACCAGCAAAATATTATTGGAAAAGTGAATATTTAATTCTTTCTTGCAGTGGGATTTGGTCTGTGACCAGCGTAAAATGAGACAAGTAGCTCAATCAATATATATGGCAGGAGTATTGGTTGGAGCCTTCATACTTGGAAATTTATCTGACAGGTAATGACAACAGAACATACAATAATTCATATCTAAGCACAAAGAACATCAAAACAACCATGTTAATAATAATATGGCAGGTATTTCATTCCTGTAGCAAAATAAAAAGTACCACTACTGCTTGAAAATACAGCATGAAAACACACTTGCTGGCCCCATCTGTTTGGCAATTCATGACAAAACCAGATGGTAAAAGAAATTTTCACAAATCTGGTTTTCACATATATTTTTATTTTAGGGATCGATTTATAAATGGTTTAATAAAAGATTCACACAACTTTGATCCAGGATTTATCAATTTTTCCAATCAAATCCAATTACAAAATGCGTGAATTTTAAAAACAAATGTTGTGTGAAAAGAAGCATAATTTATATATTTATGTTATATATAGCAGTTGTTCTTAGAGACGGTGAGAATTGGGTGGATTTACCTTAATATATGTTTTCCTAGATCATAAACTAAACATTAAGGCCCCCTTCACACTATTGCGTTGTTTTAGCGCACATGTTTTAAAGCATGGTATGCAGTAATTACATAGATGTGAACAGAACCCAAAGGAAATCATCTTAAATCAATTATTGTGTGTTCCTGTACTTCTGAAAACACACAAAAAGCACACGTAAATCTAGCCTAATCATAAATTGCAATAAAATCAATATGACAAATGCGTTGGACAGAGGAGGTCACATCATCATATGGTGATAGTTGTTAGGGATAGTTGTTATTATTGCTTTTGATATATGACTTTGTTGTACCATTAGTTTATAAATCAAGTGTTTTTTTTTTATTATCATTACTTGTATGTAAAAAAAATATTGAATACAGAGTGCTTAAATTATACAGTCCTCACACTGGGCTTCCAAAAAAACTAAGTACAACAGGAGATGCTCATTTTTTGACTTTCTAACTGCATTCAGAGCTATATGGGCTTGAAAGGGAGGATAGTGTTCTATATTCAGAAAAGTAGTTAAATGGTTCAGCAGAGTAGGTTAACTCACCTGATTGTACTAGCTGTGAGTTGCTAGTGTAAGAAGTATATATTCATTTACTAGACTTAAACGAAATTAAAAAATTCCTTTTTTTAGTTATAATAATACATTGACATTGAGAAAATATATACACACATACACCACAATTTTTCATCTCTTTATTGTAGTTAAATATTATTATTACTATTATACAGGATTTATATAGTGCCAACGGTTTGCTCAGCGCTTTACAATATAACGGGAGACAATACAGCAACAATACAGTTCAATACAAGAGGGAGCTTACAATCTAGGAGGGAGGGGCTAGTGGTACAAAAGGTAGTAACTGCGGGTGATGGACTGGTAGGAGGAGTAGAAAATTCCATTATTAGCTGAGGGCAGGATAGGCTTCCCTTAAGAGATAGGTTTTCAGAGATCGCCTAAAGGTGAGCAGAGTAGGCAATAGTCTGATAAATTGGGGTAGAGAGTTCCAGAGGATGGGGGAAGCTCTGGAGAAGTCCTGGAGATGAGCATGGGAGGAGGAGACAAGGGAGCTAGAGAGCAGGAGGTCGTGCGAGGAGCGGAGAGTATGGTTTGGGTGATATTTGGAGACAAGATTGGTGATGTAATTTGGGGCAGAGTTATCAATGGCTTTATGTGTTATTGTTAATGTTTTGAATTTTATCCGTAGGGCAATGGGAAGCCAGTGGAGGGATTGGCAGAGAGGGGTGGCAGATACAGAACGGTTAGTAAGGTGGATTAGTCTGGCAGCAGCAATCATGATAGACTGAAGAGGGGATTGCCTGCGATGAGGTAGGCCAATGAGGAGGGAGTTACAATAGTCAAGGTGAGAGATAACAAGGGAGTGAATAATTTGCTTAGTGGTTTCCGTATCTTGGAGATGTTGCGGAGGTGAAGTCTACATGATTTGGACAGTGATTGGATTTGGTGCTGAAAGGACAGATGTGAGTCTAGGACTACACCTAGTACCCTGGCATGAGGGGAGGAACTGATGGTTGTTTTATTGATCTTGATGGAGAACTCAGGGGAGGGGGCATGGGCTGGAGGGAATACTAAGAGCTCAGTTTTGGAAAGATTGAGTTTGAGGAAGTGAAGTGACATCCATGCCGATATGTCGCTTAGTAGGTTGGTAATGCAAGAGGAGACTGAAGGGGTGATGTCAGCAATCACGGCGGCGCACGGGTCTGCGCATGCACAGAACACCAATGTACTCTAATCAGCAGGCGTTAGGACCTGGGTGGCGGCCGCGCATGCGCACTCGCGATCGCGGACACGTGACTGGCACCAATGACAGCGCAGGGCACGTTATTTAAATCAGCTTTGCACAGACACTAGTTGCCGTATGGTCTATTTACCCTGTTCCTGCTCCTGTGTATCTGTTGATTGATTTTTTGCTGACCCTGCTTGATCCTGACTTTTCTGACTATCTCCTGCTCTGATCCCTGGCTCGTTTGACTACTCTCCTGGATATCCCTATTGATCTGAACTCCTGTTACCGAACCCGGCAAGTGACCTGACTACTCTCTGCCTGCTGCCTTGTACCGTGCTGTCCCCACCGTTACCGACCCAGCCTGTCTGACCACGCTTGCGACTCTGCCATCCATCCGTCCTGCACGGATCCGGTCACCACTGCTCAGGCCTTTCCGCCTCTTCACGTCAGGCTCTCTACCAGTGTATAGCTCTGGCGGATCCCTCTACCACAGGCAGGTGCACTCAGGGGCCGCGACCTGGTCACTGTCTGCTCCAAGTCCATCCCCACCATCAGGGGCCCTGGTGAAGAAGCAGACTGGGGCTTAGACTCCGCGCTCTGGGGAATCCTGTCCTGTGGATTGCTAGAGGTACTGCCAGGCGGTGTCTGACAGGTGAGGAGTAGAAAGATAGATGTGTGTGTCATCAGCATAGAGATGGTACTTAAAGCCATGGGAGATTATCAAGTGACCAAGGGAGGAGGTGTAGATGGAGAAGAGTAGGTGTCCAAGGACGGAACCTTGAGGGACCCCTATAGAAAGAGGGAGTGGAGAGGAGGAGCCAGAGTTATAGGTAATGCTGAAGGAGCGCTGTGATAGGTAGGAGGAGAACCAGGAGAGAGTCTCGGAGGCCAAGAGAGTGGAGTTTTTTGAGGAGGGGGGGATGGTCAACAGTATCAAAAGCCGCAGAAAGGTCAAGTAGTAAGAGTACAGAGTAGTGGCCATTGGTTTTAGCAGTTAGTAGATCATTGGTGAGTTTTAGTAGGGCAGTTTCAGTGGGGTGTAGTGAGCAAAAGCCAGACTGTAAAGGGTCAAGAAGGTTGTTGTCAGTGAGGTAGGAGCTCAGGCGATTGTAGACTAAGCGTTCTAAGAGTTTAGAGGTGAATGGGAGCAGGGAGATGGGTCTTAAGTTGTTCAAGTTGGTGGGGTCCTGGAAGGGCTTTTAAGTATGGGAGTGATGTGTGCATGCTTTAGAGGGGAGGGGAAGGCACCGTTAGAGAGGGATAGTTTGAAGAAGTGAGTGAGGGAGCATAGGATAGAAGAACAGGGTGACCGTAGTAGTTGAGAGGGGACAAGATCCAGGGGGCAGGTAGTGAGACGGGATTCTGAGAAAACTTTAGTGACCTCTTCAGTAGTAGCAAGGTCAAAAGAGGAAAGTGTTGAGGGACGTTTAGTATAAGGTATGCTAAGTGGGATGAATGTCTGTGCAGCGGCGATGCCCCTATGAATTGCATCAATCTTGTTTTTGAAAAGATTTGCAATCTCGTAAGCAGTGAGTGAGGTGCTGGGTGGAGTTGGAGGTGGAGAAAGTAGAGAGTTAAAAGTAGAGAAGAGACGACGAGGACTGGATGATAAGTTATTAATGAGAGTGACAAAGTAGGCTTGTTTGGCAGCATGGAGGGAGGAATTGTAGGTTAAGAAAGCAGATTTATATAGGGCGAAAGCTTGGTGAGATTTGGTTTTACGCCACAGTCACTCCAGCACACGACTATGTCGTTTAAGATTTCTGGTGTCGTCAGTCTGCCAAGGTTGTAATGGTCGGGGCCTGATACTTCGTGTTGTTAGAGGAGCAAGTGAATCTAATGTGGTGAAAGTGAACTGTTGTAGACAGCAGTGGCCAGGTCAGGGCAAGACAGGCGAGAGATTCTGTCATAGAGGCGGTCAGTTGCAGAGTGAAAAGGAGCAGGGTTCAAGTTGTGAAGGTTTCTGCGGGTAATTGTTTGCTGCTTGGAGGGATAAGTGTTTGAAGATGAGGACACTGTGAAGGTGATGAGATTGTGAAAGGGGATGTTTGTGAGGTTGTAAGGAGTGCAAAGACGGGAGAAGACAAGGTCTAATGTATTCCCATCAGAGTGAGTGGAGGACTGTGTCCATTGTGCTAATGCAAAAGATGAAGTTAGGTTGAAGAGTTGGGATGTAGCTGGGTTGTTGACGTTAATGGGGATGTTAAAATCTCCAAGAATGATAGTGGGTACTTCAGAGGAGAGAAAGTAGGGTAGCCAGGTGGAGAAATCAAAAATAAATACACCAGAATGCACAAAATATGTGTCAACAACATTTTTTGCAACAGTATTGTGAGCATTGTGGTGTGCTGCAATGCATGCGTGTTGTAAAGGTACTTTACAGTATCTTTCAGAATGCATAATGCGCATGGCCATCTGTGCCATCTGCTTACTACCATAACACATTTGTGTGAAAACAGCCTTAAAGTGGTTCTAAAGGCAGAGGGTTTTTTTTACCTTAATGCAGTCTATGCATTAAGGGATCCTGATACTTACCTGAGCCCCATCTTGACCTAGCAGTGTGCATGAGAACCGTGGCTCTGTTGGGTCTCTCTTTCCTCATCGGCTCACACAGCAGTGGGAGCCATTGGTTCCTGCTGCTGTCAATCACAGCCAGTGAGCCAATGAGGAGAGAGCAGGGAGCAGGGCCGAGCCACACTGTGTGTGTGAATGGACAATGTCCATTCACAGGAGTGCAGCTCAGGAGTGAGCTTGCTCAAGAGCCCCCATAGCAAGAGGCTTGCTATTGGGGACATTCAGCAGGGGGAGGAGCCAGGTCCACTGGCGGAGGACCCAAAAAGAAGAGGATCGGGACTGCTCTGTGCCAGACCATTTCACAGAGCATGTAAGTATTATGTGTGCTATTTAAAAACAAAAAAATTACACCCTTTAGAATTACTTTAATTGTAGTCTTTAAGCTGTATACCTTGTGCTAGTCTGCTATACCTGCTTCTGTACAGCAACCAACTGTGTCAGTAAGAAGTACTACATAAAACTTGAAAATAATACTACTGTAGTAGATAATGGAAAGTACAATGTATTTTACATTTATAATATTAAAATAAGGAACATACAGACACAATCCTTACTGATTGAATATTTGAGAAATTACAATTCATATGCTTCTTTGTCTGTTTTAGGTTTGGTAGAAAAGCAATTCTGACTGGCTCTTATTTCATGATGGCAGTATCTGGCACATGTGTGGCTTTCCTCCCCAACTTTGTCACTTATTGCACTTTCCGCTGTCTTTGTGGGTTTGCTTTCTCTGGAATTGTTCTGAACACCATCTCACTTTGTAAGTAGAAAAAATGTAACAGGATTACGTTCAGAAAATAGTACAGGTGAAACTCAAAAAATTAGAATATCGTGCAAAAGTTCATTTATTTCAGTAATGCAACTTAAAAGGTGAAACTAATTTATGAGAAAGACTCATTACATGCAAAGAAAGATAGTTCAAGCTGTGATTTGTCATAATTGTGATGATTATGGCTTACAGCTCATGAAAACCCCAAATGCACAATCTCAGAAAATTAGAATATTACATGCAATCAATAAAACAAGGATTGTATATAGAACAATATCGGACCTCTGAAAAGTATAAGCATGCATATGTGCTCGGTACTTGGTTTGGGCCCCTTTTGCAGCAATTACTGCCTCAATGCGGCTGTCAGGGCAGGGCTGTGGAACGGACAGGTAGGCCTAGTGGCAGGGTAACGCACTGGCTGACGACAACCACCACCAACAGACCGAAGTCCCTCAGGGCGCGGAGTCTAAGTCCCAGGCTGCCCTTCACCAGGGCCCCTGATGGTGGGGATGGACTTGACGCAGCCAGGTACCAGGTCGCGGCCCCCGAGACACCCCGGCTGCGGTAATGGCCGCCGCCAATGGCGTGTAGCTGGTGAGAATGACAATAGCGTAGTCAGGCAAGCTGGGTCGACAACAACGGGACAAAACGGTACAGAACAGTAGACAGAGGATCACAGGTCACGGGCCGGGTTCAGCAACGGAAGGTCAGATCGAAGGAAAACACAGAGAATGGTCTTAATCACAAGCCGAGTCAGAATACCAGAAGAGTCACGAGCGTATACACAGAGCTGTAGGAAGACAAAGACACAAGACACAAGTGCAAAGAGCATGTGCGGGCCACAGGCTTATATGTCATCAGCCACACCCCTCTGGGGGATGGACCTCAGAGACCTGAAGGCATAAAAGGATTCCCACCATGCACAGCAGAATCCAAGATGGACGCCAGCACACCTCAGGGAAAAGGTAGGACCTTGACAGCGGCGTGGCATGGAAGCTGTCAGCCTGTGGTACTGCTGAGGTGTTATGGAAGACCAGGATGCTTCAATAGCGGCCTTCAGCTCTTCTGCATTGTTCGGTCATCTCATGTCTCTCATCTTTCTCTGGGCAATGACCCATAGATTCTCTATGGGGTTCAGGTCAGGCGAGTTTGCTGGCCAATCAAGCACAGTAATCCCACGGTCATTGAACCAGGTTTTGGTGTGGGCAGGTGCCAAAGTCCTGCTGGAAAATGAAGTCAGCATCCCCATAAAGCTCGTTTGCGGAAGGAAGCATGAAGTGCTCCAAAATCTCCTGGTAGACGGCTGTGTTGACCCTGGACTTAATGAAGCACAGTGGACCAACACCAGCAGATGACATGGCTCCCCAAATCAACACAGACTGTGGAAACTTCACACTGGACTTCATGCATCTTGCAGTGTGTGCCTCTCCATTCTTCCTCCATACTCTGGGTCCTTGGTTTCCAAATGAGATGCAAAAGTTGCTCTCATCAGTAAAGAGGACTTTGGACCACTGAGCAACAGACCAGGTCTGTTTTTCTTTAGCCCAGGCAAGACGCTTCTGACGTTGTTTGTTCAAGAGCGGCTTGACAAATGGAATACGACATTTGAAGCCCATGTCCAGCATCCGTCTCTGTGTGGTGGCTCTTGATGCACTGACTCCAGCCTCAGGCCACTCCTTGTGAAAGTACCCAACACTTTTGAATGGCCTTTTCCTGACAATCCTCTCCACGCTGCGGTCATCCCTGCTGCTTGTGCACCTTTTGCTTCCACACTTTACCCTTCCACATAACTTTCTATTAATGTGCTTTGATACAGCACTTTGGGAACATCCAGCTTCTTTTGCAATTACCTTTTGAGGCTTTCTCTCCTTATGGAGGGTGTCAATGATGGTTTTTTGCTCAACTGTCAGGTCACCAGTCTTTCCCCATGATTGTGATTCCTGCTGAACCAGACTGAGAGACCATTTAAAGGCTCAGGAACCCTTTGCAGGTGTTATGGCTTAATTAGCTGATTAGAGTGGGACACTTTGAGCCTAGAATATTGCACCTTTTCACAATATTCTAATTTTCTGAGATTGTGGATTTGGGGTTTTCATGAGCTGTAAGCCATAATCATCACAATTATGACAAATCACGGCTTGAACTATCTTGCTTTGCATTTAATGAGTCTATCTCCTATATTAGTTTCACCTTTTAAGTTGCATTACTGAAATAAATTAACTTTTGCACGATATTCTAATTTTTAGAGTTTCACCTGTATATTCCAATGGTATAGCTTATATTTGTATTAATATTTAATTCTATTTATTATTTACTATATTATCTTTTATCTGCATTAGAAGTATATGGCTTACATTTCCTAAGGGCCAATTACCCTTTTTAGAGGACTTATAGCCATTTTATTGTTTTACATATGTACATGCCAGAAAGATCAGCTAGATGTCAAATATATTTTTAAACTGTGTTAAAATTCTTTCATCCATGTATAGTTTATAATTATATGTTTGGAGCGAGCCATCATACCTGCTCATTATATTAACAGACTTCAACTCAACTAAACGTCTCTTAGTATCAGAGATAGATGTTGTAAATTATTCTACGTGGAATGTGACAACCCAAGAAGACTGCTGGGCATATTGCTCCCCGAATTTTTCAATCCTACTATGACACACTTTACAACATTCCTAGCTATTCCCCCTTCACACTAGGATGTTTGCAGACTGACTCTCATGGTGAACTAATCTCAGAATATATAGATCGTAAAGCTCTATCTTCACTTTCTGCTACAGGCAGAGAATTTAGATAAACTCATCCCCCAGAGGAGATGGTAGGTGCCATTGCCTTTCCCCAAATTAATAAAAGCCCAGGCCCAGGTGGCTTTACCACCTGCTTCTATAATTTCTTTAAAGAAGCTATTACTCCTTTTCTCCACAGAGTATTCAGTGCTGTATCTGCAAACACATCTTTCCCCCCTGCAGGCTCTAGAAGCCCACATTGTGGTGTTACCTAAATCTGCCAAAGACACCACAATGTGGCAATTACCGTCCAATGTTGCTCACGAACATTGACCTATGCCTATACTGCAAAATTTTGACCTATGCCTATACTGCAATATTAATTTAGACCAGGTGGACTTTAACCCCAATCGGGAAACTCAGGACAATAAAAAGATGATCTGCCTGATGTTATACGCCCAGAAAAATGATGAAAAGGCATTTGACCGAGTGTAATGGGGCTTTCTTAAAGTCACCCTTCAATAGAAAGGCTTAGATCTTAAGTTCCTCCATAAAATACTAGCCTTATACCACGACCTCACAGCTAAGGTCCGCTATAGTGGTCTCTTATCAAACTTTGTTAGAATTCATATTGGTATCAGGCAAGGGTGCCCGTTATCCCTTCAACTATACATCTTAACCATAGAGCATGGAACACCGTGCAGCGGCATTACGTAATTAGGGCATTAGGGGAATTAAGGTTGAGGATCAACTTTATGCAGATGATCTCCTCCTCTATGAATCTATTCCACATACCTTTCTCCCATCAGTTATAAGCAAATTTGAAGCTATAGGGCAGGTAAGCAATTTTAAGGTAAATTACGAGAAGACTTAAACGCTGAATATTTAATTGCCAGCTAAGGATATATCGTGGATAGAAATTAATTTTCCCTTGAAATTGCAACACACATCCATCAGGTATTTAGAAGTCCAGATCCCTACTAAATTTACTAGTTTAGCAGATTTGAACTATACTCCCATATTGAAAACAATCGGATTTTGCCTACAATCTTTTGACAGACCTACCTTTTCCTGGTTTGGCTGAATTAACATCATTATAATGGACATTCTACCAAAGTTATTTTATATATTCTAGATGATCTCGGTTGCTCCCTCTGCGAGCACTTCTCAAATTAATAAACCCATATGCAATTTCGTATAGAATCACAAAAAAAACTAGAATAATGAGCACAATTTTATCCTTTTTTTTTTTTAACCTAGTTTATTGAAAAAACATGCACATACATATCTTACTTGTCAAGCCAATACAGTGGCAAAGTACTATCTAGCAAACATTGTATACAAAGGGAATTGTCACAGCTCTGGAGTATCAAAGCCTGTAAATTCCGTACATACCATAGTAACAAATATGTACATCCCTGTATATACATAATCAGAAAAATCAAACAAGAAAAAACTTGCATTAAACAAGTAACAAAAAAACTAAACAAAAAAAAAAAATTGTAAGCAATCGAACATATGAATTCTGCACAAATGTATGTTTTTAGACTGAGTGTGTCCACCCCAGGTGCCCAGCACCATAAAAACTTACTAAAGGAAAATGAAAGAGAAAGGCACAATGTTAGTAGTTGTCCCAAAAGTCATAATAACACTCTGACTTCCAAGCAAGGGTAGTAGCACGAACCAAGGGGAGGATTTGACTTAAAACAGAGGGCAACTAAGGTATGGGGTCAGAGGTCAAATGTGATAGTCACTGGTGTCTTGTGTGTCTAGCCAGGGTCCCCAGAGTCTAGTAAACTTCCCTGGACACCCTCTCGCCTCATAAGATAGCTTATAAAGTGGGAAGTTATGATTAATTAAAAGTTTTCACAAACCAATGTGCAGGGGTCAAAACGTATCCAGTATAATGTAATGGTTTTCCTGGCATAGTAAAGCAATATTCGTAAGAATAGTTTAGCTTTAGCAGTCAGTTCAATATCATCAAATGTTCAGAGAAGACACCACTTAGGACTACAGGAGACATTGAAGAGATCAAAATGAACTGAAATAAATGCAGTAATCTCAGACCAGAATGGTCTGATCTTAATGCACGACCAAACCATATGCATAAAAGTCTCTTTGTCCTGACTCACATTTATGGCATGTGGGGGTGGTGTGTTTTGTGCATAATAAATGCTTAGGTGTATAATATATTCTGTGTAAGTATTTCAATTGTATGAGCTTGTCCCTAGCAGAGATTACAGTAATGGGATATGA